ATAAAAAATAGCCCTGGACGGTTTGGCTCAGCGGTTAGAGCGGCGCCCTGTGGTCTGGAGAGACCCGGGTTCGGTTCTGGCTAAGGGCATGTACCTCAGTTGCAGCTTGTCCCCAGCCCTGGTTGGGTCGTGTGGGTGGCAACCACTCGATGTGTCCCTTTCATGTCGATGTTTCTCTCTCTCCCTCCCACTGTATCGGAACAAAATATCTAAAAATGTCCTCGGATGAGGGTAAAAAAAAAAGAAAAGAAAAATGTTAAAAATACGTTTTTATTAATGTTTTTTTTTTTTTTTATAATATATATAAGAGAGAAAGGAAGTAGGGGGATTGAGCCCAAAACCCGGGCACGTGCCCTGATGAGGAATCAAACCAGCAACCTTTTGATGCAAGGGATGACACACAACCAACTGAGCCACACCAGCCAGGGCTCATATTCAAGAAACTTTTAAAGAAAACTTTTGATTATGGAAAATTTCAAATGTATAAAGAGATCGAGGATTTTAATGAACTCCCATTTACCTATATCACTCACTTCCCCATTGGTAGTTCATGCCCATTCTTGTTTCATCTGTGCTCCCATGTTCTCTTTTCTTTCTGCCCTGATACTCAGAAGCCGAGTTATTTCAATTATAACTATTTTTATATTAATCTCTAAAGGTAATGACTAAAAAACAATACCATAGTCACACCTAAAATAATTAACAGTAATTCCTCATGTCAGCTTTATAGTTGATCAGATTTTGTAAAGTTTGTCAAACTAGAATCTTAAGTTTTTTGTTTTTTTTTGTACAGATAGAGTGGGAGGGAGAGAGAGGAAGGGAGAGAGAGAGAGAAACATCGATGTGAAGGGACACATCGAGTGGCTGCCACCCACACGACCAACCAGGGCCGGGGACACACTGCAACCGAAGTACGTGCCCTTAGCGGGAACCGAACCCGGGTCTCTCCGGACCGCAGGCCGACGCTCTAACCGCTGAGCCAAACTGGCCAGGGCTAGAACCTTAAGTTTTACACAGTTGGTTGATAGAGCCTTAAATTGCTTTTACTCTATAATGCCCCCCCCCCTTTCTCGCTCTTTCCCTCCTTCTCTCCTTCCCCCCATATTTCACTCCCTCCTTTGTTGAAGAAACTGGGATATTCGTCCTATGGAGTTTTTACCTCTGGATTTTTCTGAGTGTATTTCCAGGGTGTTAATATGTTCTTCAAACCCTGTCTTTCCTGTAAATTGGTAGTTAAATCTAGACACTTGATCAAATATAGGTTTGATTTGAGGGAGTGGAAGGGCAGGACTACTTTTTAGGTGGTTTGTGGTATATGCTTCCATCAGAAGGCACATAATGTTTGCTTGTGTCTTTTTGTAATGTGAATAGTCATGGATAATCTAAAGAGAAGCATACCCTTATCAATTATTTTTGTTATCCTACAGACAGTCCATCTGGTAAAGGCAGAATAAATGCTTGATTAATTTGCTTTATTTTTCAATTTTAAGAATGATGAGTTGGCCCTGGCCGGTTTGGCTCAGCGGTTAGAGCGTCGGCCTGCGGTCCGGAGAGACCCGGGTTCGGTTCCCGCTAAGGGCACGTACCTCGGTTGCAGTTTGTCCCCGGCCCTGGTTGGTCGTGCGGGTGGCAGCCACTCGATGTGTCCCTTCACATCGATGTCTCTCTCTCTCTCTCTCTCTCTGTTCCTCTCTCTCCCTCCCTCTCCATCTGAACAAAAAATGGAAAAATGTCCTCGGGTGAGGAAAAAAAAAAAAAAAGTGAGAAAAAAAAAAAAAAAAAAGAATGATGAGTTGGTGGTTCACTAGCATCTCCAAAAGTGACCAAAGAGGGTGGTTTAGTTTTTGTTTTTAGAGTACTATGAATTCATGGATTTACACTTTCAGTATTTTTAAATTCCATTACACTGACTATCTTTATGGGTGTATAGGTTGTCCTTCTTTGGCCATGGGAGTTTGCTCAAGTTGACTCCTGAGTTTTCTTAGTATGACCATTATAGTCTGGTAGCTTCCTTGCTTTCTAGTGTGACAGGTTGTTCTGTCCTTTTTCTGTCCCAGACTGTGAATCAGCCATTTCTCCAAGGTCCTCTAGTTTATTTTAGTGGGAAATGGCATTTAGAGCTATTTATGTGGGGACTGGGTTGGTCATTGTTGGTTTTTTTAATCTTCACCCGAGGATATTTTTCCATTTATCTTCAAATAGAGTGAGAGGGGGAGAGAGAAAGAAACATTGATGTGAGAGAAACACATCAGTTGGTTGCCTCCTGCATGACCCCAACCAGGGCCGGGGATCGAACCATAACCAAAGTATGTGCCCTTGACCAGAATCAAATCTGCAACTCTGGTCTGCACTGTCACTCTAACCTCTGAGCAAAACCAGCCAGGGCCCTCTGCTATATTTTAAATCCCTGTGCCTGGGGATTTAACTGCCTGTTTGTACTTAATCCCTTCCTCTTTTTCACCCAGTCTCCAAACCCCCTTCACTTTGCCAACTATCAGTCTGTTCCCTCTGTATGTGTGAGTCTTTCTTTCAATTTTGCTTGTTGGTTTATTTTGTTAGGGAATCATTTTTGTGCCCCATCCTTCTACCCACCACCATCTTTCTTCCTCCCCAATTTAATAATTGTATCTTAAGCTTCTTAGTGCAAAGTGTTAGGCTCTCAGTAGACTAGAAATTATTATTTTATGCTGGGTGATTTGCGTAATAACAATACTGTTGTCTTAATGCCAATATGAATTTATCGCACCTTGTGTGAAACATTAATTAAACAAGTTCAGACAGGGCAGTAAAGTCCACTATTCATTTCATTTTTTTTTTTTATCCTCACCCGAGGACATTTTTCCATTTTTTGTTCAGGTAGAGTGGGAGGGAGAGAGAGGAACAGAGAGACAGAGAGAGAAACATCGATGTGAAAGGAACACATCGAGTGGCTGCCACCCGCACAATCAACCAGGGCCGGGGACAAACTGCAACCGAGGTACGTGCCCTTAGCGGGAACCGAACCCGGGTCTCTCAGGACCGCAGGCCGACACTCTAACCGCTGAGCCAAACCGGCCAGGGCCACTGTTCATTTCTTAATAGCAGGTTTTTATCATAAGCACACCCTTTGTTTTTTGTCCATTTTCTTCCAAGCTTGTTTCCTAGTGCTCTTTAATTTTTATTTTTTTATTAGTTAATATCTGCTATGAAGAGAAAATACAGATTGTTACATAGAAATATGGTCTAAAAGTTTTCTAGCATAGAATAAACTGGCTATTTTGTTGTATATGTTGGGGTATGGAGTTGCTGGTTAGTTCTTATAAGGCCTCACCCAGTGATTAGACCTTTCTGTGTGTGTATTGCATGTGCTCTGTCACTGTTTCGAGGTAGAATTGGAATTAACAGCAGCACAATTATCAGAGAAGCACAATTATCAGAGACTCCTTTTTGTAGGAAAAGATCTCCATAGCTAAACTAGTGTTTCTCTTTTTGAGCCTTGCTCCTTATAATCCTCACCTGTTCATTTTGACCATGACCTTAGATTATCTTAATTTTTCTAAAGCTTTGATAAATTTTGTCAACAAGTATGAGTCTGTCTCTTAAAATAAAGTGTTCATAATACATTCAGTCTTAGCTGAGTCATTTAAAAAACATTTTAGTAAGTTTTTACTTTAAAGAAGTAAATTTTAAATACAGCATTGTCCTTTGGTTTCTAAAATGGAACTTGAGTCCCTCTAGTGGGTAGAGGATAATTTACTTTCTTAGCTTGAAATTAGAAAGATGCCAGTCTTGCCCTGGCCGGTTTGGCTCAGCGGTTAGAGCGTCTGCCCGCGGTCCAGAGGGACCCGGGTTCGGTTGCCGCTAAGGGCATGTACCTCGGTTGCAGTTTGTCCCCGGCCCTGGATGGTCGTGCGGGTGGCAGCCACTCGATGTGTCCCTTTCGCATCGATGTTTCTCTCTCTCTCTCTTCCTCTCTCTCCCTCCCACTCTATCTGTACAAAAAATGGAAAAATATCTCGGGTGAGGATAAAAAAAAAAAAAGAAAGATGCCAGTCTTGAATTATGTGGAGCCACCTTTCAAATCCACTGTGCTCATCGGTATTGGTGTCCCCTCTCCCCAACTAAGAGGCAGTGCTTAGCTAGTCACTGGATTGGCTCTAACATTAGGCAAGATTCAACAGTCCTTCTGTCTTGCCCATGTGATCCAAGTACCCTGGTCATCTTTAGCATGTGATCTCACAAGCTGTGGCTCACCAGCTTCTTTCTTACAAGCCTCAGCAAGTATAAACTCAAACTTCAAGTTGGTGATGTTAAGCCCTACAGTTCTTTACAGAAAGGTACACTGCCTTCGGAGTCTTTGAATTGCCATGAAAGAAGTAATTACACAGGCCCACTTGGAGCACAGCAGGAAAGTTAAAGGTATTTAGTTATTGAAGTTGTTGTTACATACTGATAGCCAGAACCCCAGAAGCATGGTATGGCAGAAGGAATCTGGGTTTGGGGTCCGCATCCTAACTCTGCAGGTACTACCATGTGACCTTGAGCTGGTTTATATAGCCTCTCTGTATCTTAGTGTTCCCTTCTGTAAAATGGGGAGGTGATAAACCTGTTTTCCAGGGTTAAGTATTAAAAATAAACATGTAGCCCTGGCCAGGTGGCTCAGTTGGTTAGAGTGTCATCCTGTACACCAAAGGGTTGTGGGTTTGATCCCCACGTATACCCAGATTATGGGTTCTATCCCTGGTTGGGTCACATGAGGAGAGCTACCAATTGATATTTCTCTCTCACATTGTTGTTTCTCTCTGTCTCCCTTCCTCTCTAAAAATCAATAGAAACATAGCCTTGGGTGAGCATTAATAAAAACAACAGTAATAAACATGCAAAGAAAGGCCTTTGTGTTTTGAGTGCTCTGTGGTTGATAGCAGAAGTCATGGAAATTTCCCTAGAAAAGTTGACATTATAATATATTAAATTACTTGGATAACTTTCCCATCTTCTCTCATGCCTTCTTTTTCTTTCAGTCTCCACCAAGTAAGCGAAGAAAATTAGAGAAGCCAAGGAAGCCCATTACATTTGTAGTGTTGGAGTCTGTGATGAAAGAATTATCCCTCAAAGCATCACCTTTGGGCTCTGAGACAGAAGAAGGCATAGTAGTTGTGACTACATGCATTGAAAAAATTCTCACTGATCTGAAGGTACTTGTTTAAGCACATTGAAGACATACTTATAATCTCTTTTTTTCTTTTCTCTTTTTTTAATCCTCACCAGAGGATATTTTTCATTGATTTTTAGATAAAGTGGAAGGGAGGGGAGGGACAGAGAGAGAAAGAGATAAACAGAAATTATATGAGAAAGACACATCAGTTGGTTGCTTCCCACATGACCCTGACCGGGGCCAGGATTGTTCCTGCAACCCAGGTATGTGCCCTTGACCAAGAATTAAAGCCTTGACCCTTTGGTCTGAGGACTGATGCTCTTACTGCTGAGCTGTTTTCTTTTCCTTTTTTTTTTTTTTTAAAGGAATTTTGAGAGTAGAAAAGTGATTTCCTATAAAATTCTGTTTTTTCTTCAAATAGGTCCAGCATAAACGAGTTCCCTGTGGAAAGGAGGAAGTTAGCCTTTTCCTAACAGCCATAGAAAACTCCTGGATTCATTTAAGGAGAAAAAAAAGAGAACGAGTGAGACAATTGAGAGAAGTTCCTCTAGCTCCTGAGGATGTCATCCAAGCCTTGGAAGAGAAAAAGTTCACCCCCAAAGAGTCTGGAAGTATCCAAGATTTGGACCAGGGCCCCCCAGAGAGTATCCTGTGTGGGCCTGCTCTACAGGAAGGCGAGTCAGCCACCGTCGAGGGCCATAGCCCAATCCAGGATTCGCTTTCCCAGGGAAAAATCCCAGAACCCATGGAGGATGAAAGAAGTGAGGAAAAGGGAGAGATGGAAGTTTTGGAAAGTTGTGAAGGCTCTGGCAATGGAGCGCAGGACCAAGAGGCTTCTGAGCAGTTCGTCAACCCAGTGTCTGAAAAAGGGAACCATCTCCAAGGAATGGCTGGACATTACCTGTTCAAGTGTTTGATAAACATTAAGAAGGAGGTGGATGATGCCTTAGTTGAGATGCATTGGGTTGATGGTCAAAATAGGGATTTGATGAACCAGCTTTGTACCTATATACGTAACCAAATTTTCAGGCTCATTGCTAGTTAACTCCCAAGTTCTTGCATAGTTGGGAAAGTTCTATAAAGCAACTTGCTTTGGAGTTGCCTGTGGGGTGGTGAGAGGAATTCTACCATCAGCCTGTTGATAACATTGTGTGGAGTTATCTTTAAAAACAGAAACAAATTAATTCATTTTAAGCCCCACCACCCTGCCCCTTAAAGTTACAGGGCATTGTAGTATGGTGTTTCAGGAGGAAGAATTGTGGTTATCAGCATCCACAAAAAGCCATCAGAGAACTCAGATTTAAACTTGACTTAAACTGATCACCTTAGCTTTAGACTACTTCTCTGAGGCCAAAAGGATTAGTTTTGGAATCTGGTATGGGTCAGAACTGTGCCCCCAGATGGAGGCAATACACCAGGCAGATAGGCTCTGTACCCTCTTCTAGAGTCACCTTGAAGACTGGAGACTTTCTCTGGGTACATATGATCGATTACCTACCCCTAATCAGGCCTAAGAGAACAGGCCTGCTGGTGGGTGGGAGAGTCAGGGAGAGGAAGCTTAGTAATACCAGAAGAGCTGATCTGGGGAGCACCTGGAAACATCACATTCCTGACTCATGTCTGTTTTGATGTTGCTTATTTCAGAAACAAGTAGGTAAGCAAAACTCCCAGATGTGACTGAGACACAACAGAATGAAGCCATATCCCCACCTCCAACCTGTTAAAAGTACTGTTTTGTAGCAGTTTTACTAGTGTATGACATTTGAAATGGAGCTTTGTTTTGTTTTTAATATGAGTATTTCAAATTGACAACTGTCCATCCTGTTTGAATCCTGGGGTTGGGGGAAATATTTTCTTGGTTTTGAATGGGTAAATGATGATAGAAATAAGCAATGGAGCAAGGTAGTTATGTGCAGTAGGTTGCTTAAAAATTCTCATTAATTGGCAGATAAGTTGTAGCTGATCAAATATTGCTTTTTGTGTGTTCCTTAGAAATCCCCCCCTGTACTTACCTGTTAGCATGGGAGAATTCTGAGGCCAGGGTAACCATGTTCTGAAAACACCTTTCTAATTGGAGTGTCAGGGCTCAGCAGGAATGCCTCTGGAAAAGGAATTTCCTTTTTTGTTCTCTAGGTATCTTGGTTGCCCTCTGCCGAGCTTCACTTTCAGCAGCCTAGTGTTCTGTTTAGACTGAAATATTTTAGTATGGTGCCAGAGCTCCTTGTTATCTGCAAAGAAGATTGGAGCTGAGTAGTTTAGCCACACTTTTGAAAGGTGGCTTTTGGTTAGGGCAGAATACTGATGACCTTGGCATATTTTGGCAGAAGCTAGGCCAGGGCCTCAGCAAAGATACGGGAAATGAAGATAGGACTACATTACACCTCCCTGTGGCAGTGGAGACAGAGCTGCAGAAGATAACATATTAACCCATCAGTGTTCTTAACCTGCTCCCTGAACCTCTAGAGAATGCATAAACTTCCTGGAATATTTTAAAAGCTCTGTGAGCATATGTGTGGTGGTGTTTTTTTCCTGGAGAAGGGTTCCTGACTTAGAGCAGTCAGTGACCTACTAAGGATTAGGACCACTGTTCTAGCCCAGCCTCTCATTTGACAGGATGAGGAAACCAGTCTTGGCCTGAGCTCACACAGAACCAAGATTTAACCCACAGCCTTGGATTCCTCTGGTCCAATAATCTTCTGTACCCACCCACATCATCCTGCTGTGCTTACTTCTGATGACACATTTGAATCTTGCCAGACTCAAACCAAGATAATTTCTATCTTGATAGAATGTTAGGGTAGTTGGGTTAGCTGGCAGCTATTCATTCAGTAAGTGGCAAATAACTGTTTGTTGTTCACTTCATTAAAAAAGAATAGCATGTGCTCATTAAAGATTTGGAAAAGTGAAAGAAAGCAGCAACAAAGTCACCCCTAGTCTCAACCTTCTTAAACACAACCACTACTGATATTTGAATATTTCCTTCTAGTCTCTTTCTGTAAATGGTGTGTGTGATTATGTGGGTTTAACTTCGGTTGTACTCATGCTGTGTATTCAATTTTATATTATACTTTTTTTGTTTAACATCTTATAAGTATTTTTCCGCATTATAACAGTAATGTATTTATTTACACTCCTTGCCTGTTCAAAATGTATTTCAGGCACAGTATTAGCCTTCGTTTAGATCTAGTACTTAGAGATGCCCAGAGAATACGCTGTGTAACTGGAGGCATACAAGATGTATTTTGTGTCTGTGTTTTAGTGCCTCAGGTTTAAGGCTCGGTGTCATGGAGGAGGTTTTATAGGTGTTGTTAATGCTTTTAGAGTTTAAAAGTATGTGACAAGGGAAGTTTCCACTGATAGAACTTGAGTGCCTTCTTTGCATTGGAATGTCTTCATTTCCTTCTTTGAGAAAAATAGTTTATTTCTATCTAGTGAGAGAACATTGAAACATTTTTAAAAGACATATAAACATCATTTTAGTTATGCATATGCTTTATAATTGTGTGATATGTGATGTGATAGCATATACTTCTGGTATAGGGGAAAAGGGCATTTATTTTCTTTAAAGAAATAGGTTATTACCTGGCCAGTGTGGCTCAGTGGATTGAGCATCTTCCCATAAACTGAGAGGTCCTGGTTTGATTCCCAGTCAGGGCACGTGCCTGGGTTGCAGGCTCGAGCTCCAATAGGGGTGTGCAGGAGGCAGCCCATCAATGTTTCTCTCTCTCATCGATGTTTCTATCTCTCTCTCTCTAAAAAAAAAAAAAAAAATCAATAAAGACATATTTAAAAAAAAAGAAATAGGTTATTGCCCTGGCTGGTGTGGCTCAGTTGGTTGAGGGTCGTCTTGTATACTGAAAGGTAGTCGGTTCGATTCTCAGTCAGGGCACATGCCCAGGTTGTGGGCTTCATTCCTGGTCCAGATGTGTGTGGGAGGCAGCCTATTGATGTTTCTGTCTCTCTCCAAAAAAAAATCAGTAACATTTTTTGAAAAAGAAATAGGTTATCGACCTATGTATCATATTGAATGATACTTGCCATAAATATCTGGAGGTCAAGTTCATATTGATGGATTGGTATGGAATTAAATCTTTGTGATACTATCTTAAATTCTATTCTGGTCCCTGGCACTGGCTTCTGATCTTCAGTAACTCCTGTGGTAACAGAAACTGAACTTGTTTTCCAAGGGAGACTAAAACTGCTTTTCTTCAGATTCTGCTTTCTTCCAACAGTTCGGTTCCCTCACCCCACATCCTTGCCTGACTTTTCACTCACCAGAGCATCACACCATGTCCTATCAAGGTTGGCGTCTCTGAGGTAGAGTTTCAGCTAATCTTAAGGGTTCATGTTGATTACTTAAAACTTTAGTGTGTGTTTTAAAACACAACGTTGTGGAAAACCTGTCTTAAAAAGAGGTAGTGCCCTGCCTGTATGGCTCAGTGGTTGAGCATTGACCCATGTACCAAGAGGTTGCCAGTTCAGTTCCTGATCAGGGCACATGCCCAGGTTGTGGGCCCAATCCCAAGTGGGGGGCATGCAGGAGGCAGACAATCAATGTTCTCTCTCATTGATGTTTCTCTCTCTCCCTCTTCCTCTGAAATCAATAAAAAGGAAAAAAGGGAAAAAGAAAAGGTAGTGGCCCTTTCATCTTAAACCAAAGCATTTTCCTCTGTGGCCACACGAGGGCAGCTTTGGCCCTTTTTTCAAGTATCTTAACTGCACTGTGGGAATAGATAAAATTGTGCCCTTGTTTTTATGAAATACCCATTTGCTACCCAGATAAATATTTTTATGTAAATAAAATTTGAAAAATAAAAGAATTAAAAATCCACTACCCCATAGATTTTTTACTTTATTTATTTTTTGATCCTCACCCGAGGACATTTTTTGCATTTATCCTCAGATAGAGGGAGAGGGAGAGAGTGGGGAAGAGAGAGAGAGAAACATCGATGTGAGAGAGACACATCGAATGGTTGCCACCCACACGGCTCCAACCGGGGCCAGGGACAAACTGCAACCGAGGTATGTGCCCTTAGCGGGGAACCGAACCTGGGACTCCGGTCCATGGGCCGACGCTCTAATTGCTGAGCCAAACCTGCCAGGGTCCCCCATAGTCTTTTTTTCTGGGCATAATCTTTCAGCCTTTTTATATTTCTGTGTGGTCCGAGTTGACTTTTTTTTTTTCCCTGCTACTTTAGAGTATATCCAGTTTGGGTCAGTCCTTTGGATAAAATTTTTATTAGTATCTAGTTAATTGGGGTACTGGAGGGGGATGTTCACTGATCTTAACCAGTAACTTTTCAAGTCTTATGTTCCAGGAAAAGTAATATGGAGAGCTCTAAGAAAGAAATTGTTTTCAGTGTTCTTTTGTCTTTTAATTATTTTGGTTTATGTGGCTAGTTGACTAGCATGCATGTAATGTGCTGTTTACATCAAAAGTTGGCATGGTTGGTCTGTGTTGTGTGTATTTTATAGGTTAGCGGGGCCTGCTTTCCCACAAGGGGTGTTTCTGTGTAGAACATGTATGTTACTAACCCTGGGAGAAGTTACATCTACCCTTATTTTAATGGCACGGGATCATATGTTATGGGTGGCCACCAACAGGTCTGCACATTAGGAGGAGGACGGTCCATTTTGGAAAACTAAAGAGCTCTCTGGGAGTAGGAAAGTCAAAGATACATCAGTTTTATAGCCATCTAGGGGGTACCCCTAGGAAAAGGACCTGACCACTTTTTTTATAGGGAAGTTGGTGCTTGGGAGATTTGGTTTGCTGAATGGGCAGTAAAACCCAGAAGTGGCTTACTAGTAGAATGAATTGGCTTCTCTCTCTTGGAGCAGGGCATTGATGGCCCTGAACCTTTCTAATACTCCCAAGTACAAATCTCTCGGTGCTTGTGCCTGCGCAGTGTTAGCCCTACATGGGGCTCACCCACTAGCAGCAGGGCCTCACACATGTACCCGAGAGTTCCCGCTCTGCTCTGTAAAGGCATTCAGATCCTCTGCTGTGACTCACCCAAATGACTAAAACAGCAGTTTATTATTTTAATTGCTGGTTGGAACAGCTAATGCTGCCTTTTGGAGGCTGTGCTTTCACTCCGGGGACTGTGTTGTGACTGAGTGAAGCCCTTGCACTACGGAAGGCCTTTGAGGTGTAGCCTGCCTGCCTGTCTCAGCTCAGGCAGAACCATCGGGGATTCTGGGCTCTCCTCGGGGATGTGGAGGATCACTGGTGCTTATTATGAGCCAGGGAAATGAGATAAGAAGTAATGAACTAGAAAGTACGGGTGAAGTGGGCAGAACTGGCTTGTATATAAAGCTCTTAAGAGGGCAAAGGATGGCCCGGCTGGTGTAGTTCAGTGGTTGAGGACCGACCATGCACCAAGTTGTCGCTGGTTTGGTTCCTGGTCAGGACACATGCCCAGGTTGTGGGCCTGATCCCCAGTGGGGGGCATGCAGGAGGGGCCAATTGATGTTCTCTCTCATTGATGTTTTCATCTCTCTCTCCCTCTCCCTTTTCTCTGTAAAATCAATAAAAGAAGGAAAAAAGGGTGAAGGATGTTTACATCCCTCACGGTTTTTAGCAGCTCTAAAAAAATTAAAAACAGAAAAGAACACAGGCTCCACAGTTGGTCAGACCTCAGTTTACGTTCCAGTTCCACTTCTAGGGTAAGTCAGTTTCACTGAGCCATGGCTTCCTCATAGGAAAAAAATGAGGGATTCTTGCTTCCTAGAGTTATAGCAGCGATTAAATGAAAGAAATAGTAAAACAATTGGAAGCGTACATAAACAAATAGGCTTCTCAACTTGTTCATCTCTTCTTATTCTTTGAGTTTTCAATTTCTAGTCAGAAAATCTTCCAGTAAACTCAAGTGAAAAGGCCTCAAGTATGTAATTGTCAGTGTAGACTACCACTTTTGACCCAGAGTAAAAGCGAAGCTTCTGTGTACTGGAGTGAAGAACAATATTGATTGACTGTCTTCTATATGAATTCTGACCTAGTAACCCTTCAAAGTAGTGTGGTGTCCCTGTGTGATAGCTCAGAGAACTTAAGTGACTTGTCATAAGGTTATTCACAGAGTGGAGTCAGAGAAATGGGATTTGAACTCAGGCCCAGGGATCCAAGTTACCACATCTCAGGATTTGGAAAGAAACTTCCATGCTAATTTGATGCACCTCTAGGGAAGAAGATATCAATTCTTGGACACAGGGACAAGAGAAAAAGCATCTCTTACCCAGACTCACCATTTAACACTTTAAGGTAATATTATTTTCTAGCATATGACCAATGAGCAAGATTTAATAAGTAAAATTATGTGTAATTATTTCCTAATTTATGCGACCAAATCTTCATAGAATTTTGTATTTGGCAATAGTGCAGATAATTATGTAGTTAGTGAAACCACAAAATAAAATGTCTAGTGCGTGTACATGTTGGATTAGAGTCAATGTAAAATAATAACTAATAGTTAGGTAATGACTCTTAGACAATACCTAATTGTATAATAATTGGAGAAGGAATTTTTAAATATTTTAGTAGCACTAAATATTTCACAGGCAGAACACAAAATGATGTGCTTTTTAATCTTGCTGGAGAGGGTAGCAATTGTCAGAAAAATAGCAAGTCATCTTCCCCAGGTAGAGTGAATGAACTCAAAATCTGGAGAAAAGAAACGGCTGCCTGCCATCTGGTGTGGACCCATTCAGGGAGTGTGGCCTGAGAGTCTAGAAACCAGAGCCAGGAAATTCTCAGCTGGGGGACTTGGCTGGCTCCGGCAGCCAGTCAGCCCCTTGGGACATGTGCCGCTGCTGCTGTCCAAAAGGGGAGGCCATCCAGAGAGTGTGGCTGGGCCTGGGACTGGGTGAGGCAGGCCTGCGCCCATAGACTGGCTGGGAGAGAGGGGTTCCCAGTGTGGTCTGACAGGGTCCTCAATTCAAATTTGTTTGTCCCCGGGAGGGCCAGATGTGGGCATTATGGACCAAACTCTGGCCTGTGTTTCAGTGACCTCTAGATGAACACTTATAAGGAGTTTTCTACAAAGGGAAGTACAGAACTTCCTCATCGACACCAGAGACCAGACAAGAAGGGATAGCTCTGCTCTGACTAAAAGGAAGTAGCTTTCATTCCGTTCCTGCTGGTCATTGCCATGCAAAAATAGGTGCCCGGTGCTGTTGGGTCTTTTCATTTCTTTGAGGCAACCAGAAATCCAAATGAAATCCAAATTTATGAGAAATTTACCTAATTGTAAATCGTGAGAACTAGTTCAGTATTTAGAAAAGCCTGGTAGACTATCTGTGTGAACTCTTCTACCACCAGGTATAGAACTGTAAATATTTTCAGCCTCCACTTTCCTAGCTCTCACTGATTTCAGCTACTGAAGTCTAGTTGCTGC